TTAGTTAAATCGGCATAGCAGCAGAACCACCTAAGTAGATAAAGAAGACATCATAAAGATTGTATAGCATTGTAGAGTATAGGTTTGGAGTCAGATAGATCCAGCTTAATTCCCAGTTCTGCCATTTATTGCCCCTGGGCAAATAATGTTACCTGTGAGCCTCAGTTTTTTCATATGTAAAATAGGTATAATAATATAACCATAGGTTGCTATAAAGATTAAATGTACATGATGTTTTAGAAAAGTAGCTGGAACATAGTACAAGTGAAACAAATTATAACAATTATTTTCTTCTGCACTGACTCATAGTTTGACTTTAAACAAAGTGCTAAATTCTTCCATATCTGCTTTTGTGGCTACAAAAAAATGATATTATCTGACAACTTCAGATGAAAGGTTGCAAGATACCATTTAATGATGACTGTATAGTACTTCAAATTCCCTGAAGCTTAGTTCTACTACCTCAGAATTACTATTCTAAAAATCCCAGAAATTGCCCAACCGTGCAGGTGATGCATGTGCCTTGGAGAAGATTGAGCTTGTAGGCTCTGGCACGACCTGGTGTCTCTGACGTCCATTTCTCTTTCTCAACTCTTAAAGCTTTCCTAATCTCTAATCCACTCATTCCTAACCTATTAAATTATGCTTGAAACTGTGAGAGCATTCTTCACAATTCTCATTCACCATCTTCGATCGGAATACGTCCAAAGGAATGTGCTTCAAGAAGTTTTTAGTACAGTTCTAAATCTTAACCCTGGCAAAATCAAGAAATGCAGCCAGAGTACCATTTCACCACCTACCATCTTGGAAGACCTGGTCCATAACTACCCAACCCACCCCATTCCCAAGCACTAAAGCATCAGGTATTACAAACCTGAAGTTGCTTCTTCTTCTTAAGTGTTTCTATATATTCCCTCTTTATAGTGAAGTACTGACATATTTTTGGAAGAAAGCAGACAGCAATGAAAGAATAACAAAGGTCTATTATATAGACATAGTTACTATAAACTGATTAATTCCTTCCATGAAATGCTACACTGAGATGAACTTGCTTTTTTCACAATAGCTAATGTTGTAATCCTTTTTATAAAATAATGATGATGTAATTGAAGTGCTATACTCTCAGTCACTGGTCACCTTTGAGATAGGGTGGAAAAGTTGGGTCATATTCTTATTTAAATACAAAGACAGTATTAAGAAAATTAAATAAGGGCAGTTCATGCATTATTTAAAAATGTTTTAATAACATACCAATGAGAGTAAAATTATACCACCACTCTTTCTTCTTAAGCATATATGTGCATTATTTCACATTAGTCTGCATATGGTCTGTTCCTTTGCCTATACATTGCATAAGCATGTATGGGTATACATACAGATGCATTTTCTCCATATGTGGATATGCATGTGTGCATGTTTTTCATTTCTCTGTTAGACTGCAAACTTTCCAAAGATTCTTCTTTTAGGTCCCCACACATTATAAACAATGTGTTACAACTGAAAAGTACACACATTGAGCAGAAAAGCCAACAGAACTGAGTATAAAATAAGAACTCATTAAAAGTTGTTACATGGACCAGGACTGATCTTAGCTGAAGGAGAAGCGAGGCCCAGTGTTAAACACTTGGAGCACAGTCATACAGCAACCTTAGGCCTAACTCTCTGTAGCATGGCCCTTCAGCATCACTATCTACAGACTAATTTCATAGGGGATATTACTAGATTAGCTTTTCTTTTTTTATTGATTGATTTTTTTTTTCTTGAGAGAAACATCGATCTATTGTTCCACTTAGTTATGCGTTCATTGGTTGCTTCTTGTATATGCCCTGACTGGAGGTCGAAGCCACAACTTTGGCATATGAAGATGATGCTCTAAACCAACTGAGCTTCTCAATCAGGGCCTAGATTAGTTTTATATCAAGGTTTTCCCTGTAAAAAAAACAAATTTTTAATCCGAAAAAGACTACCCTCCCTGTTTGACACAACTACTCAAATAATGTCGGTATCCTCCCATAAGTTTCCTATACCTCCTTAAATTATCTTCTCCTCCTTAATCATCACTACGCTGCGTAAATGAGTGTTCTTTTTCCTCACAGGAAAAGGTGACCAGGGAGAGCGCACCTCCCATTAAGGCATCATTACACCAATTTAAATAAAATGAGGGCTACCTCTTTAAAAGATGACTGATTTCATTTCTGCTTTAACTTCTTTATATCTTACCAGTTCTTTTCCTTTTTTATGGCTTTACACTGTATCAGTTCTTCTCCAACTGTAGTACAAATAAGAATTACCTTGTGTAACTTCTAAAATATACATTTTCAATGCCTCAACCAGAGATTTTTTAGAATTTCTGGAATGAGAACTATACTTTTCTACTTTCAATCACCATCTATTGAACCTAATGCAGAAGGTCAATGGGCCACACACTGAGAGATAGTCATACCCCACTGAGTAAAACTTAAAGTTGTCCATGATGTTTCATGTGTATATTACTCATTTCATCTTCACCTTTTTAAATGTGTGTAGATATTAATGTCTATAAACTTAGTCTGCTTGCCTTTAATTCTTAGCAGTTGTTGCTGGTGAATACAGTTAGCATACATCCCTATTATCAATATATATACAGGGGTGGGCAAAAGTGGGTCTACATTTGTTCGCATAAAAAATAATACAATAATTAATAAATAATAATACAAGAATAAACTCTGTGTTTTGTGTACTCACAACTATAAACCACTTTTGCCCAGTCCTGTCTTTATTTACTTTTTTAATGTTTTTTTCTTTATTGATTCTAGAGAGAGAGAAAGGGAAAGAGAGAGTGAGATAGAAACATCGATGAGAGAAAACATCAATCCTCCGCCCCCCACTGGGGATCAGGCCCACAACCTGGGCATGTGCCTTGACTGTGAATCAAACTGGTGACCTCTTGGTGCATAGGTCAACACTAAACCACCCACCCACACCGGCCGGGCTGCCTAGCCCTGTATTTAATAAATAGATTCTTGCCCTGGCCGGTTTGGCTCAGCAGTTAGACCTGCAGTCCAGAGAGACCCAGGTTCAGTTCCCGCTAAGGGCATGTACCTCGGTTGCAGTTTGTTCCCAGCCCTGGTTGGGTTGTGTGAGTGGCAACCACTCGATGTGTCCCTTTCATGTTGATGTTTCTCTCTCTCTCTTCCTCCCACTCTATCTGAACAAAATATCAAAAAATGTCCTCGGGTGAGGATAATAAATAAATAAATAGATTCTTCTCTACCCAAATCTCTTCCCTATAAACTTATTCTTGATAAAGTTTTCTTTAACTTTCTGCTGTGGGTGTTTGTTTTTAATATTTGTATGTTCTCTTCACGCTCAAAGAATTACTATAATAACAAGAGTTTTGAGGAAATTGTAGCATAAAAAGAATGTTTACCTGGTCCAAATTTCTTATTACCCTTAAGTTGTAAAATAGTGGTTCTCATTTAGAACACATGGGGTGGGGAGGCTGTGAGAAATTTGTCTAAAGAGAAACATGCCATTTAATAAAATGCTCCACCTGTTTCTTATATGACTTCCCAGTTATGACTCAATGTCCCTAAAAAGAAATTGCCTACATATATCCTAGTATTTCAATCATATCTCTTTCATCAGAGCATTGCTGTTGGTACACTTATTCCAGCAAATGTGCATAGTAAATTTAATGCCTTCTCACTCTAGTCCATTCTCTTAACATAGCCAAAGGTCAACTCAAACATGACATGCTCCACTTTTTATAGAATTTTTAGATCAGGGGAGTATTTTTGTTCCTTTTTAATTTGTTCCTTGAGCTGTACCTTCCATCTACTCTGAAGCAGGACCAAAAATAGATACATCTTTTGCTTCAAATTAGAGGCTATACATAGAAAAATGCACTCCAATACCCCAACCTTATAGTTTCTCTACACAAATCCCAGACTCACTCAGATCCAACATAATCTGAAATCTAACTAATATCTTGAGTTTGACAGAGATTCTAAGTTTAAATAAAAACACTCTTTTCTATTATAGTATTCTTAAAGATAGTGCAGGCAAAAAAGATAGGACACAAAGCCATCAAGGATTATAGAGAAATACTTACAAAGATAGGGAGTCTTGAAAAATCTGACTAAATGTCTAATGTTTGTAGCTCTTAGTTTCTTCATTAACATGTATATATAAATAGTAAATTTCTCATAACAAGTATGTAGAACTTTCTATCAATGACAGAACCTGGATGTTTTTCCCTATTAAGATTCCATTGAAAGTTTTACATTTTTCAAACTGTTTCTTCTCAAAGTAGAAATTAATCTCAATAAAAGATATGCCAATACATCAATCAGAGAAAATTAAATTTTAATCTAAAGATAAAATTATTTCCAGAGTCCAAAAGTTAGTTTCTAACTTTGAAATAAAACAACTTCAAAATAATTATAACTCATCTATTAGAGAAATTGATTGTAGCCAGGTACATTATTAAATCTATTTTTCAAATCCAGCTATAATAGTTTAGTCATATTGTCTTCTTAAACTATTCCTCACTCTTCCAAAACATGTACAATTTTTAAAAGTTAAACTAAACTATTTACTTACATAAATAAAAGTAATTTGGATCTGTATGATTTCAGACTTTTTTTTTATCATGTATAGTTTTGAAAATAAGAGTATTTTCTCAATAAGACAAAGCCCAAGCTAAAAACTTGTTCTAGTCTTCTTAAAATAAACAACAAAAAATTAAAAGACAGCTATTCAAACAGTATGTACCTTTACCTTTTGTTGAATTCTTCTGAAAGTATATGGAGAAACATTTTTGGATGGGACATAAGAGAACAGGAAACACTAATACAGAAAGAATAGGAATCTATTTCTTGATGTAATTTTATATTAAATATCAAAAGTATTCTATATTAAACAAATAATAAATCAGAGATCTATACATTCCTTGGTGTGATTTGTGTCTCATTTTAAACTACAAGTTAAGACCAAAAAAAAAAAAAAAGGAAACTCACGGATACATTGCTGACCAGCAAGGAAGAGTCCTGTGGAGACCAAGGTCTGCAATCAAGTGTATGCATCCAGCTCTGTCAGCAGCTTCCTGGACTGGATGAAGTGAAGAAAGAAATCACTGATGATCTAAACAGAACCAGTCTGACGGGTCTTGACAAGTGTGATGGGAACTGTTTGTGTAACTAATAGGACAAAGTCAAATTTTATAGGGAGCTAGAGAACATAAATAATTTATAAACACTTTCTAGGAGTGAAATTTAAAAACTATTGTCTTAAGACTCTAAAAGTGTTAAATCGGAATATTTGGAAAAAGATGTTTAAATCTAGAAAGAAACTCTAAAATCATTTGCTCAGACTCTTCATGTTTCCAATGAAGAAACTGAGGTTTAATTAAGTTGAATGACTCAAAATCACCAAGTTTGTTTATGAACTATTTAGCCAAACATGAAAAGGCAACAATAATGATGTAAAAATGTCCATATTTAAGATTAAATTGTTCTTATTACACAGTTTTTAAAAAGTTAAATCCTCACTAATGAATTAATACTGGTTTAATAATACTATATTCTATTTTATACCCATTTTATGAAATATTGTTTATACTCTTACCTTCAAAGAAAAACAGATTCTTCCTCAGTGTAACTGTGGGCCAGGATTGTCAGACCCATTTTAATAGAATCTTATGACTTTTTTTAACCAAAATCCAGATTCCAAACTCAAATAAATCCTTTTATATGGTCCTATGATCCTGTATACTTAGGATTATGTATACCTAAAGATAGTTTTTTTTTAAACCCTATGACTATAAGTTAGAATTTATAGAATATCAGAAAACCAGAAGCTAGGGCTATAAAAATAGAGGACAAGTGGATATAAGCCTAAAGATATCAAAAGATACTCATGAAAACATTTTTCCATGTTAGCATCCTTCATTCGGGCTACTCAAAGAGCATAAACAGTGTGTGTCATCAAATTTCATGATATTACTTACACTTTAGTAGCTATATAAAGAATGACAGGGAAAGAAGAAGGAATGAAACATTAGACTAAATTATCCATCAAATGGAGCATTTCACTTACTTAAGCTTTCCTTTGATTGTTATTCTTAGAGTTGTAGGATACAAATACAGTCAATCATTTTTAAATTAATTGATCTCTAAGAGAAAAAAAAAGGCTCTTAGAGCAAACATTTGTCTTTCATTCAAATATTTAATTTTTGTGATGCTGTTTTTCAGAAATTATAAATTTTATTCCACAATACCTTTGCCCTAAATTATAGTGTGAAGAAAATGTATTTGAGGAGTTATGCCCCTCTTTAAGTCTGAGATCAGGGCAGTCTGTCTTCCCTGTGTCCTCCTGTGAATGTAACAGATATGTCACATTACATAACTTGTAAAAGAGCAACATAACCACAGGCATTTTTGCCAGCCAGGAAACCATTCCGTCCTTAGTCCTCCCTATACATGTCAGTGCCATAACAATGAGGCATGCGACGGCTGTGAGCATGAATATACTAAAGAAGTACAGTGCCAGTATGGCTAGTCACATGATTTTTAACATTGTTTAAATATCCCCTAGCTTGAACCAAGTTCTTTTATGCCAGATAATACATGATTGCATATGCATGGTACACTGATTAATTTATGGAAGCACTCAAAGTTATTCCTGGTTATTTTTGTATTGCTAGAGCCATCCTTTTATTGGCCAGTTAATTGGGTTGTACATTACAGACAGACCAATGTCATTAAACTAGTGAATGAGCTAGTTAGCAGATAAACACAGCTATTATCATTTGCAGATCCACTTCCTCCTAATCATGTATTGTTTTGAAGGACCTCATGCATCTTAATGTTTAATCTGAGAAAACAAAGAATATAAATATAATTAGTTAATCTTTGCTTCTATCTCAGTGAAAAAAGATCATGTAAAAGTGCTGCTGAAAAACAAGCTTACACTTTTGTCACTCACTTTCCTTTTCTGTGTTTTATTTTCTTAGCCAAAATATAATTTGTTTTCTCTATAAGATGTTCTGCATCTGCTATAACTATCTTCAGAATGCTAGAAATAATTTGTCTGGGCATAGAAGGGAGACCCTGTTAAACTTTACAATGCATAATCACACACAGTAAAAACCAGAGATAAGGGTTTTTACAATTAAAAGACAATTAAAATGTTAGGAAAATATTTATTGTATAATTTATCAGGATATACAATACAGACTGATTAATATTATAAACTAGTGGGAGAACGAAGTCAACATTTTGGGGCCCATTTTATTTTTTAAACTTTTTTTTGCAATTAGTCTTTGAAAATCATTTTTAAGATTAATCACTTTCATGTTGGGGGATCAACTTACAGTCTTCTGAACAGAATTTTTCTGGGATATGAAATAAATTTATTTATGTATACTATCACTTTACAAGTAGACTCCCCAAAAGTATTTAATAAATTGATAAAATAGGGGTGAAATTCCAGAAAAAGTACAAATGCAAATATGTTCTGCATATTGTTTATTCTTGCTCTTAGACAGCTGCAAACTTGGCTTTGAACTTTCTGGCAGAAAGGATAATAAAAAAAACTAAGAAAAAATTTTATTATTGAAAGGAGAGAAACATATCAAGAGAAAATTTTTTCTGCCACTGAATTGTTGAAGAAATTTCTCACATGTTACACTGAACAATGCATTGAATAATATCAGCAATATTTTTATAAAAAATTATAAGAGAGTTTTATATAGCTTTCTAATAATGAGTTTAAAGAAGCCTAAGAACATAACTTTGAAGTTGGTGACAGATTTTTATAGATGGTTTTTTGTGGTCATGAATGTATATAATTCCACTGATGTAGCTTGATCCAAAGGCAGAACTTAAAGCATGTAAACTAGAGATACGATGTTCTTTAGATGAACTTTTGTAAATATCACTTTTCTCAGATCTTTATAAGAACAGAATAGGAGATAGTCTGATGTCATTAAAGTAGTAAATGAACTAGTTAGGCCTAGAGAGTTAGTTTTCTTTTCTTTTTTTTTTAATCTTTATTGTTGAATGTAAAATGTATTACAGATGTTCCACATTTTTACCCCATTGACCCCCTCCTCCCCATTCCGGCCCCCCTCCTGCCTTTTCCCACACTATTGTCTGTGTCCATTGGTTATGCATGTAAATTCTTTGGTTTATTTCTTCCCACCCCCCCAACCCCCTTCCCTTTGAGGTTTATCAGTTTAGCAATGAATATGTACTTCTTAATCCCCTCACCTTTTTCACCCATTTCCCCAACCTCCCTCCCATCTGGCAACCAACAAAATGTTCGCTGTATCTATGAGAATGTTTCTGTTCTGCCTGTTCATTTTGTTTGTAGATTCAATTGTTGATAGATATGTATTCATTGCCATTTTGTTTGTTCATATATTTTATCTTTTTCTTCAAAAAGACCCTTCATCATTTCATATAATAATGGTTTGGTGGTGATGAACTCCTTTAACTTTTTCTTGTCTGGGAAACTCTTTATATGGCCATCAATTCTAAATGACAGCTTTGCAGGATAGAGTAATCATGGTTGTAGGTTCTTGCTTTTCATCACTCTGAATATTTCTTGCCACTCCCTTCTGGCCTGCAAAGTTTCTTTTCAGTAATCAGCTGACAGCCTTATGGGAACTCCCTTGTAGGTAACTAGCTGCTTTTCTCTTGCTGCTTTTAAGATTCTCTCTTTGTCTTGAACCTTTTGCATTTTGATGATGATGTGTCTTGGTGTGGGCCTCTTGGGGTTCATCTTATTTGGGATTCTCTGTGCTTCCTGGACTTGTATGCCTGTTTCCTTCACCAAGTTAGGAAAGTTTTCTGCCATTATTGTTTCAAACAGGTTTTCAATTTCTTGTTCTCACTCTTCTCCTTCTGGTAACCCCAAGATGCGAATGTTGGTGTGCTTGAAGTAGTCCCAGAGGCTCCTTACATTATCCTCATTTTTTTGGATTCTTTTGTTTGTTTGTTTGTTTGCTGTTCTGATTGGGCATTTTTTGATTCCTTATATTCCAAATCAACAGTTTGCTTCTTGGATTTACGTACTCTACTATTGAATCTGTGTAAATTATTCTTTATTTCAGTTAATGCCTCCTTCATTTCTGACTGTGCATCCATGATTTCTAACTGGTCCTTTTTTATGCTCTTGAGGCCCTCACTAAGTTCACTGAGGTTCTCACTAAGTTCACTGAGCATCCTTATAAGCAGTATTTTTAACTCAGCATCTGTTAAGTTGCTTATGTCCATTTTGCTTAGTTCTTTTCTTGGGTTTTGTTCTGTTCTTTCATTTGGGACCTGTTTCTTTGTCTCCTCATTTTGGCTGCCTCCCTGTGTTTGTTTCAGTGTATTACTTAATGAGAGGTATGGGGCTAGCTGAGACCAGATGCTGCTCATTTGAAATAATTTAGGAAAAACCTGAAGCAGGATCCAAGACAGGCCAATCCTATTGGGTGGGGTGGGGCGGGGGCCTCAGGGAGTCACCAGGGCAGGGCAACCAGTGTGAGCCAGGTTTCTGGAGTCCCAGATATGAAGGCTGTCTGCCGCCCCAGGGAAGGGCTCACCAAAGGAACAAAGGCCTCTGACAGCACGTTTGTCCCAAAGAAAGCCTCCTGTCCAGCCCTCGCTCCAGTGCCAAACAGCTCACTTCTTCCCTGTATGTCTCTGGTGCCCCTCGAGCTGCCTCCCCTCCAAGCTTAGAGGGAGGGGGTCCGATAAGACTGTGCACGGGCCCTTTAAGGAGCTGCATGGGGCTCCAGCCACTTCAGCTTCCCTGAGCCTCAGTTCCTGCTGGTTTTTCCAGCCAGAAGTTATGGGGACTTCTCTTCCTGGCACTGGAACCCTGAGCGGGGCACCTGGTATGGGACAGGAACCCTTCAGTCCTCAGGAAAGACCATCCCAGCCGAGGTATCCTCCTGATTTTTATCCGCCACACGTGGGTATGGGACCAGCCCATCTCGCCACCAGCCCCTCATGTCTCCGCCTCTCCTACTAGTCTCAATGTGGCTGCTGCTTTAATTCCGTAGTTGTAGGGCATCCATTCAGCTGGATTTCAG